CCCCATTCCAGGCACGGTTTCCTGTGACCTCCGTTCTTTGATGGCTCCAGGAACCTGTTGGTTCCACTGTGCTCCACTTGTCTGTGTGGAAGGAGTGACAGCTGCTAGGCGTCTCACGTGGGACCAGAAGATGTCTGCGGCTTTGCTTTTCACCTCCTGGTCTTCACAGAATATGGCGAAGAACTCAGTCCTCTGGGGAGGTGGGGCTGGGACCTGCTGTCCTAACACACAGCACAGCACCTGGTGTGATCCTCCTGCTCCTGGGGGCCCTGCCCTGCATGCTGCTGTCCCCAGCCCTTGGTGCAGAGCAGGTGAAGGCATGGGCATAAACTGGCTTGTGCTTCCTCCTGCCATGGTCCCTGTGGCATAGCCAGGACCAAAAACATACTTAGCCTACCATGGAGACGGTGTTCCCTGGGACGGGGGGATTCCAGGTCACCAGGAGCCTAGGAGGAGAAAGGAGTAGCAGACAGGAGCACAGGTGGGTGCAGACACAGGGCTGGCAGGGCAGGGCTACCCGCAGACATGGGGCTTGGCTGAGAACCCCCAGTGCACGCTTCACTATCCTTCATGCTGTACCTCATGCCCTTTGGCTATGTGTCAGTGCCAGGGGCCTGTGTCCTGACCGTCTCCACTCTGTCCCTCCTGTCCTGCTGTGAGGATGGACAGATACCTGCCATGTTACTGTGGGGCAGGGAAGGCCCTGGAGGAGAGGTGGAGGCTGGGGTTTCATTCCTCAGAGATGAGAAGGACACGCTGGTGCCAGATGGAGGGCGTGGAGCTGCTATCCAGGGATGACCAAGGGTCCCAGCTGTGTCAGGGAGGGCTGGTGGTCCCCAGGTGTGGACATCAGGGCTGTAAAGTCCTATGGTGTCGCAGATGCGGGTTAATGCCATGGCGTTCTTACATTCTGTGTCAATCGCCAGCACAGGGGAGGAGCTGCCAGGCCCTACACGGCGCCAGGTCGCTGGGCCCTGCTTTGGTTCAGGGGACTGGAAGGGTCCCCTCTGTCACTGCTCCACGAGAGCCTCTTTAGGTATCCAGGAATGGCCTGGGGTGACTCACAGTGCTGTTGGGAGCATAAGGATTCCTGCTCACAGGGACTGGCGAGGTGGGGCTCCCAGCCTGGCCCTGCCCTGGTGAGAGGGCAGAAAAAAGGGGGCCTCTGTCTCAGCCTGTCGCAGCTGTGGTCCTGGGGTCTGGCTGTGGCTATACTGGACAGACAGACAGCACTGCCCTGACGTGTTGTGGGTTCTGTCACACAGGGCTTTGAGGGGGCTTTGATGTGCAACTCTGAGAAGGCCCAGCCCTCTGGAGACCCACGTGCAGAGAGGTGAGGGGTCTGTGGTCCGCAGCACAGACAGCCATGCTGAAGCCCCTGACAAGTCCTGCAGCTTGAAGGGAAGGACAGAAATGTTGTGTCACCAGCGGGTTCCCTGATTCTTTGCCCAGAAAACCCCTTTGGTACCTAACATCTGTTGCATCCAGAGGAGCGGTATCGTCAGGATGTAATATGGGGACTATTTCTCTGCTGCAGGCAGTGGCAGATTCCATAAGCAGAACAGGGGGCCAGCATTGTTATGGCTGTATAATGTCCCCCTAAACCTGTATGTGGAACCTTGGCACCCAGGACTTAAGAACATGAACCTGTGTTGGGAAAAGCAAAGCTGCAGGTGCAGCTAGTCAGGTTAGGATGCGGCCATATGGTGTTATTAAAAAAGGGGAACTAAGCATAGGCCCCTGTGTGACCATGCTGCACCATCTGCCAAGATGGGGAAAGCGCAGTTTTTTTCCAGTACTGGAGATTGGACCTTCACACTTTCAGGGCCTTCAGACTGAGCTTCTTTATTTTTCAATTTGAGACAGGGTCTTGCTGAATGGTTAAGTTGCCTCAGCCTCCTGGAGTGCTGGGAGTTTGTTTTCAGAGGGATAAAGGGCCTCCATGCCTGGCTCTGGGGCTGTGGTGAATTAAATGTAAAAGGGGATCCAGGCATGATGGCGCACACCTGTAATCCCAGCATTCAGGAGGCTGAGGCAGGGGTATTGCTGTGAGTTCGAGACCAGCCTGGGCTACATAGTGAGTTCCAGGTCGGTCTCAACTACATAGTGAGACCCTGTCTCAAAAAAAACAACAAACAAGAACAGCAACAAAAAAATGTAAAAGGGGATCCAGGCATGATGGCGCACACCTGTAATCCCAGCATTCAGGAGGCTGAGGCAGGGGTATTGCTGTGAGTTCGAGACCAGCCTGGGCTACATAGTGAGTTCCAGGTCGGTCTCAACTACATAGTGAGACCCTGTCTCAAAAAAAACAAAAAACAATAACAGCAACAAAAAAATGTAAAAGGGGAAAATGAAATAGGAGCTTACTGTTGGTGCTTGGGTGCAACTGGTGACATTTGGGTGTTGTCTCACGCGTGACCCCAAGCCTGGGAAGGCTGGGAGGTTAGAGCCAAAGGCAGGGGTCTGATTCCAGGGAAATACTGAGGGGCAACAGCAGAGAAGGAGTGATGATGATCCTAAATGTGTGAGAAGACGCCTCTCACTGGCACCAGCGAAGGCAGGGCCAGGGTGATCACCAGCGGCCCCTCAGGTTGAGAATGTGACAGCGACTTCACTGTGTTCTGCAGCTGCAGAGGCTGTAGACACAGGAGTAGCAGCAGCACAGCCCGTGCACGGGAGAAAAATGCCACAGTAACCGCAGCACAGTGTTTCATACAGAAGTTTCTGTTTCCTCCAGATTGCTTGGGTCAGTGATAAGATCTAGAAGGGCATGTACCTGTCACCCTAGCTACTCGGGAGGCTGAGGCAGGAGGATTGCATGAGCCTAGGAGTTTGGGGACAGCCTTGGGAACATAGCAAGACTTCATCTCAAAATAAACAAAGAAATACATGAGGTGTGGTGGTGCCCACCTGTGATCCCGGCACTCAGGGAGGTTGAGGTAAGGCAGGAGGATCACAAGTTTGATCCCAACCCTGGCAACTTAGTGACTTAATGAGAGTCTGTCTCAAAATAAAAGTAAAAAGAGGTGGGGAGGTAGCACAGTGTGACAGCCTAATTCTCAGTATTTTGTTATTATTAATTATTAATTATTAAAATATGAAAAGCTCTCTCTTTATTCTTCCAGAGGTCATTGTAATCAGAGGTAGGAAAGCTTTTTTTAGAAGTCATCAATACACAGACAAATAGCAACTTGGTTACATTTCAAAAACAAAGCCCCTGTTGTCCCCACCTGGGCTGACCAGCCAGAGTGGACCTGGTAGCCTGAGGCTGTCTCAGAAGAGCCATGTAGTAACTGCAGCAGGAAACAAACCCAGTGCCCACTGGACCTAATCCAGAACCCTGCTGAGGACCTACGTGTGGCAGGGGCTGTGCTCGTCCTGTGTGGTCTGCCCTAGTGCTCATGGGGCCTTGCCCAGAGCTCTGCACGGGAAGTGTCTGTGCATAGCAGGCAGAAGTGGGGTCTGCTTTTCCTCAAGGGTCCTGGGTGTTCTTGAGCCCCAGACTAGCTGGTGGCCTTTCTGAGGATGAGCTGGGCCCTGGCACAGTCCTGGGCCATCATGGCTGGTGGCTCCTGGAGTGAGTGGAGGGCGGTGTAGTCATTGTCCCCTCTGACAAAGTCCCCAACGCAGCAGAGGAGGCCGCTAGCTCCCCAGTAACCCCTCCTTCACCGGAATGGAGGCCTGGCCAAGAGGGCCTGTGAGAGGCTGTCCCCACCCCGCTGTGGTTACAGGTGGGATCCAGAGCCCCCTTCTTTAGCTGCAGCCTGCAGGGCCCATGCTGTGCAAGACCCTGTGGTTCATCGTGGAAAGGCTAAGTGACAGGCTCTGGGGACAGCCAGACAGTGGGAACCACAGATGGAGGTTCTGAGGTGGTCACTTTGGGGGTCCCTCAGAGCTGAGGTTCCTGGAACCCTGGCCCCAGACGCTGCCTCTGATGGGAGGAGCTACCTGCCCAGAGTGGAGGAGAGGAAGGGAATAGACCCTTCCACCCTGTCCGCCCCTCCCTCAGCACCACCTGTCCAGTTGTCTGTGGGACCCATCCCCTTCCTCCCGGGGACCTGTCTGCACTCCTGCACAGAATTCATTGCTTCCGAGCTGCCAGGATGCTTCCTGGCACTGCACATCCCACTGTAAATGCAACAGCATTCTGCATCTTTAGCAGGGCAGGGACTCAAAGAGCGCCATCTTCATTAGCTTTGTTTGATCTTAAAGCCCCATTATGGGGCTGGTGTCCATGGACCTCATGATCTGAACAAATTGCTTTTCCCCAGCTTCGGTGGTGTCATAAGCCTGGACCCTCAGGCCTTCTTAGTTCCTCTTGCCCTCTGGTCACTTTTTTTTTTCTTTGGTACCAGGGATCGAACTTGGTTCCTTGTGCTTGAGAGGCAGGCAGTGGAACCAATGAGCTACATCCCCGGCCCTCAGGTCACTTCTGACTCCTGTATCCCAGGCCAGACACTACCTGCCACCAGGATCTGGGGAGGGTGTGTGTGGAGGGGAGGAGAATAGGCAAATGCTAACTGTATTAAAGTAAAGAAATGGAGCTGAGACCACACCCTCTGGGTGTGGGGGCAGAGGGCGTACCCAGGGAGGCCAGCTGCCTGAACCTATCCCCTGCAGACCTCATCAGGACTATGGGTTGCTTTAACCTACATTCCCAAGCTCTCACCTGGCCTGCAGGTGAACCAACATCCCTTCAGCCCCCTCCCAGGCTTCCCTGCCTCTGCATGACACAGGAACAGAGGGGGACCACGGGGGACCCACTCCTCTAGCTCTGCACCTGAATTACATGAGCTCCTTCCTCCCTCTTAACACCATCCATGAGTCCCTGTGTCCAGCTGCACCGAATCCCATCCACCTGCCCTCTGAGGATGACGCACTGGGTTCTGTAGACTTGGCGTGAGCACCTTTGGACAGACACTGAATCCAGCTGACCCCAGGACATGGGGCCCAAGGTTGAGAGGGCTGGAGGGGCACAGGCCTGAGAGTGTTTCCAGGGGATTAATTGGCTCTCTCCCCCATCTCTCTATCCCCCTCCCCGATTTCCTGCCTAGGGGGGCTTTCTCTGTGGTCCGCCGCTGCGTCAAGCTCTGTACTGGCCATGAATATGCTGCCAAGATCATCAACACCAAGAAGTTGTCTGCCAGAGGTAGGTGTGTGTGTGTGTGTGTCCTGAGGGCCAGGCCAGGCTGGACAGGGTGGTGGCTGGGGGACTCTGGGGATGGGCTATGACCAGGGCACCTAAGGGTCTGTGGGCCCCTGCCTGGCCTCCCCATTGCTGGTCTATGGTCTCTGTCCCTGAGCTGGAGGGAAGGTGCTCATGGCCCAGCATGCTGTCCTGTGATCACAGGGCTGCAGCCAGGGAGGAGCCCGTGATGTCCAGCCTCAGGCAGCTGTGGGGCTCTGTGGCTGACCTAAGTGTGGTGGGCTTGAACTTGGGGCCTTCACAATGAGCTCCTTCTGAAACCCCCTTTTTTTTTTTTTTTTTTTTT